AACCTGTGATATCTTCTTCAGGGTGAAAAAGGAAAATAAAAGCTGAAACGTTTTTAACGGAACCTTGCAAAAGCAGCACGTTACAATGGTGAGGGAAAAGCTCTGTGTATTGCATGTAATCACATCCATACAGTTTATGATCGCATCAACAACAACGTCTACATTGTCATCTGAAAAGATTACAAAGATTAAACAAGTGTTTTTTTTTAAGCTCTAAAACATGAAATGTGGAGTTATCTGCTTTTGCCAAAAAACGACTGTTGGAGTTATCTGCATTTGCTATAAAACAAACTTTTAATATGTAAAAAAAAACACTTTCAATTAGTGCTGTGCAATATATCGAAATTATTGAAATATCGCAAATGTACATATCGCAATATGCATATCGCTTGATTGATATTACTTGGAATGCGCAATAAAAAAACTTGATTTTTGAAAAAAAAATCTAAATGGAGTTATCGGTTTTTGCAAATGAACTCTTCATATATAGGCCTATAATTTTGAAACACAAATAGTAAATGAGGCTCAATCATCTATTAAAAAACATGCATGTTTATTTTAGCACTTCCGTCAGTGAACACGCAGCCTGCAAAACACTAAAATAAACATCAAATAAATAATACAGTTAAACAAGAAAGTAGCCTAAATAAGAAAGTTAAATACACCCTGTCTACCGGACGCGAGCGGTGCGGCGCGACACAACAAAATACTATAAAACTCATTATAATCAGTGATGCTACACTGGATGCGCGACACGACATGACAAATCCCTGACAGTAAACTGCCTCGTCCTGTTTATGAGGTACTGACACAAAGTTCAAATGTCCTGTGTAGACAGACTCAACCTGTTGCGACGTGGCGGTGTCGCGTCCAGTGTAGACACGGTTCACTGTTCCGCCGCTAAGTAAGCACATTAACTCCTCGTCTGCACGCGCTCTTTTTCATCTTCCATTTATCGCTGTCTCATTTGTATTTGGCCAGTTTGGAGAAAGCCTCACCAAACCTGACCAGCCAGGCGTTTGCGAAGAGTGCGTGACGTCACGTGCACTATTGCCGGTGGCAGTAGACAACCGTGGTGGTCGGTTATCACGTCACAGCCCTATACAGAAGTTCTCTTTATTGCTGAAGTGTACGATTAGAGCAAGAGGAATAACAAACAGTTATATAGCGAATTAATTAAACATCGAGCAGTGTCTGATAGGAAATTGGGTGTATTGTCTCGCTCTCACACACAGTAAGTCATTTGTTACAGCACAAGAAGTTTAAAAACTGAAGCGTTATCACGTAAAAGGAAGAAATATTTCACATTCTGCACTTCTAGGTCACTAAGCAAATAATAATAATCAAATTTGTGACATTGATCTTGTGAAACGTTGTACAGTTGGTCAGATGTGGTTCTTCCATTAACGCACAAGATGCTCTTTGGATCACTCTAAAATCCGTAACGGTAATTTATAACATTAGCCTTTGGCTTGATTGTGTTGTCAAACAGCTAATAATGTGTTGCTAACGTTACACAAAGTTGTTCCAGCAAGTTGACGGGACTGGCATGTGTTTGTGACGGTAGAAAACGAGGCTTTTTCAAACCACATTTTTGAAACTGTCTTTGGTGCGCTGCAGTTTTAAGGAGAAAATGCTTAACAATAGTGTTGACTGATGTTTTTGATCATGTTTTGTCTTTATGCCTATTAAAAACACCAGATAGAGAAGTAAACAACATTAAAAACTTGATTTTCACCACAGGGTGGAAACGGATGCATTATAGAAGCATGTTCGTTATTGGTCACAGATATTACTTCCCTATTGTATATACATTACAAATGTACCTGAATCCAAATGTACACTAATGCAGTTATGTGTAATCTGTAATCTGTCTTTCTATCTATGCTAAGAGTTTAAATGTGTCAGAGATGGAAAATGCAAGCATGAGGAACTTCAAATATGCCATCAGCAGCCCACTTCTAAACCTTTCAAAAAACCTTTGTTTCTAATGTGGAGGCAAATTGTTGGTCATCAAGTTTGTTTTGTGTAGGAAACCGCCATAAGTGATCCATTAACATTACGGCGTACGGTCTGTTCACTCACTGTGTTGGCTGTCATTCATGGGCTGTGTTCAGAGTGTTTTGAAGCTGCCTCTTCTACCAGCTCTATATATTCACCCTGTCATTTTACCTCATATAACCCTGCTGACTCAGAGGAGTCTGTGTATCCCAGTGTCTCATATAAAAAACCGAGAGCAGCTCAGCGAAGGGGCAAAGAGCTGTTGTCAGGAAGAGCAGTTGTAGAATGTGGGTCAAAGATTTATTGAGCCATCTCCTTGTTAGTGTAGAGGGCAGGTGAGTAATTCCCTTATGTTTGCCACTTGTAATTAGTTTTTAATTTATTCTAGATGTTTCCTAACAGATGCTGAAGGCATTGGAGCAATTTGGGATGCTCCATTTGTTATTTAAAAGGAGTAAATGTAATTCTTCCTCTGGTGATCATTAATGTGCATCCTTTGCACCGCCGTCTTTCTCTACCTTGATGTGACAGTAATTCTAGCAGATTTCCTTCTAATCCCAATAACGGTGATTTATCCGTTATTGGGATTAGAATAAATATTAGAATAAATCCTGAGAATTTATCCCCACTAAGGGCAATTAGCAAATTAATTCCCCCCCCCAAAATAATTTTCCTTCAGGATTTTGTTTTTGTAGTGTGATAAACGGTAACAATACCCATTTTTTCCAACAAATTTTTTTTCATTTTATTAAATTGTTAGTGAATAAAACAAAACTTGTTGCAGATATGTTTAATTATACATTGTCATATGCACAGTCATTTAGTATAGGCTGATTTACATTTTGTCAAATGTAAAAATTACACATAACAGTAACAGTTCAATAACATATCTTTTCGAATCGGACACATTAACCTACTTTCAGTTGTAGTAATAGGAAAATTCAGTTCAGTTCGTTTGTCAAATCTGTCTTCCAAGCTTTTCCAGTAAAATAAGTTTTTCTGTGATTGTCCAAGATTCAGTTTAGTCTAATTCATGTAAAAGAATCACACCATTCATTTTGCATGTATTTACATATATACACTACCATTGTAGCATGACAGTTTAGAAATCATTCTAGGCTTGCTGCGATATACGGTGCTGACGGTGATACCGGTGTTAAGCCGCAACACCGGTTACTTCACTAACTGCCGCTAATTCGAAGTGAAAGTAAAATGCGCACGGTGCTTTTAAGCTATTTAAAAGCGAGGAAAAGAGGGAAAATTCAAACGAACTAAAAACGAACAATTGCTTTACTCCGAATTGTCGCTATTTAAAAGTGAAAGTAAAATGCGCACACCGCTTTTACAAGCTATTTAAAAGCGAAGGAAAGAGAGGAAAAGAGGGAACGCCCCCGCCCCCACGGTGATACCGGTATTACCGGTGTTGTCACACGTCAATTAACCGGTGGGAAAATTTTCGTCACAGCCCAAATTCTAATAGGCTGATTCTGTGCTCATTTCTCATTATTAGCAATGTTGAAAACAGTTGTGCTGCCTAATATTTTTGTGAAAACCATGATACAAAATTACATAAAATTATAGTTGCATAAACTACATAAACTATCAGTATTTATTTGAAATAACAACCTTTTGTAACATTATAAATATGTTTACTGTCTCTTATGGTCAATGTAATGCATCCTTCCTGAATAAATGTGTTAATGTCTTTCAAAAAGTAAAACTTACCTCAAGCTTTTAAACAGTAGTGTGTGTTTTATTTTATGTAATATTTAGTTTGTTTATTTCACTGTGCCACTCCTAAATAGTGATGCTGGAAGCACTGGTTTGTGCTATGCGCACATGCATACACGCGTACATTAGGTGTTAATGAGCCATTTCTGTTGTCATTGTGGTAATAAAAACAATGACGTGCAATGAAATTTTTGGACTGGAGATGCCGTATATGTGGTCATGGAATGCACACACTTAATTGTTTTTCTTGAAAGAAGTGGCTTAAGAATTTTTGGAGCATACAAAAGTGCCGTTTGTAACGTGAAGAATGTTCCTGTAATTGCTTTATTGCAGTGTATGTGTATTGTTTTCTGTTCCATTCAACTGTACCTAGCATGGTGCCGCCACTAAACCTGTGCAACCAGTCCTCAAATACCTGGCCCAAAGCGTAAACTGTTCCTTGTGCTGCAATATAACATCAGGTCAAGCGTTGCAAAATGTCTGGATCACAGAGGTTCCCATAGATGCAAGATTGCCGCCAAACTAGTGTTTCTAACTCTTGACTTTCCATTCTATTCTGTTACGCTCCGTCAAAATGTTTTGGAGCGCAAGAGCGCATCTTTTGTAAACGTTCAGATGGAGACTAAGTCTGCTCAACCTGCACAAGATTCCTAGTGTCTTTGAAGAAGCTTAGCAACTTGTGAAGTAAAAATCTGATTCCACTATTTGCTGTTTGTTTTGTTAATGACATTTTTTTGTCTTGTCTCTTAAGTGATAGTGATGACACAGAGTGTGTTTTGCATAATTTCACAACACTCATCACATTACTTCAGTGCCATACTCAACACGATCGGAGTTGCGGTTGTTTCAGGAAGAAGTTGGGAAACCGCCCTCCACCACATCCTGTTTTAGAGCCCTTCTGTGTTAATCATGCTCACTACTTTACGGTTGTTGTTTTGGTTAACCACAACTCTTGCTAGTGTTTTTTTAAAAAAAAATTTTAAGCCATATGGTTGCCTGTGAATTAGCTTCTGCAAACAATATGAAGTCCCATCTGTGGATCTCACTTTTTTGGGTTATATTAAACCACTTTTATATCTGTTATAAACCTCCAATATCAATCATCTTCGATTGATATTCAGCTGCCAATCTGTGACTGCTGGTTGTGGTTTGTGCTTTATACTTTGGGTTGAGTGTAAAGTCTTGTGAGTGATCAATGAAGCAGGTCTCCTCTCTCACTGCAGGTAGTCCATGTCTTAACCGGCCTCCCCTGTGGTTTTCTTTTCCAGGTGCCATTCTCGGCCGATCAGAGACACAAGAGTGTGTGTTCTACAACTACAACCCCAGCTCGGAGAACCGAGGAAATCGCAGCGGTATTGAGTCTTGCGTGGGAGAGAAGGACAAGAGGCTTCATTGCTTCGCAACTTGGCGAAATGTGTCAGGATTGGTTGAAATCGTAAAGCAAGGCTGCTGGCTTGATGATGTCAACTGCTATGACAGGTAATCTCTAGGGGTTTTACGCCTGTTTGACATTACCAAGAAACCAATATAGTCTGAAACAAATAACTAAAGTGGGGAGGAAAAAAGGCCCATTTCTGATTAATTGACTGGTAGTTTTTAAAATTGATATATTCATTCAAAAAATTGGATGTAACAGTTTTATAGTTGTTTTTTTTTATTCATTGTCATAATGTGGACCATTGAGGGTTTAAACTTTAATTAAATTTATTCAGTGCTTGCTCTGACGAATTCACTGAATTTGTTAGAATGATTCAAACTGGTAATCCAGCAGTGTATGAGGTAGGGATGTTCATTTTAACCGTAAGAATTTTGACCGATTAATACAATCAGTTAAACGATTTAAAAAGTCATTATTTATTTTTTCAGTAATTTATCAAAATATTTAAAAAGGTTTGCTGCATGGTTAAAATACGCTATGCATATAAAAAAAATGTATAAGTCGCATTTTATTGTTTCATTCAGAAATAGCTAGGCTTAATGCCGACGCGAAATGTTTACAAACATTATAATAAACACTGTAAACATAGCTAGTAGGGTTTAGTTCCCCTCACTCCACAACAAATCCTTTCAATTAACAGTATTTAGAAAAGAACAAGAATTAAAAA